ACACATTTTGTCCGTTTTTTTTTCCGACTTATTGATTCTCATCGAACGTCTAACTATGTCCATTCGATTCGATCTTGTCCATGTGGTTCGAGAAGCGAGTGCATTCTACAAGGTGTTAACGTCCCTTTAGATTTTTTTTTCCTTTCGCTTTTTATCGACGTTCCACGAGCGCAATCGCGTCGTGTGCACCGCGTCACTCCATTCATCACCGCACGACCGGAATTCATCGGGCGAGTTTTTGCTTTTCCGACGCGATAAATTCGAAAGGGAATTAACGAATCTACCGAATCTTTTCGCTCGTTCGCTCTAATCCAATCCTTCCGCGTGTTCTACAAACTTCAGACTCTCTGTCGCTTTACCTATCGCAATCTTTCGATGAATTTTGATGAAGATATTCTCGTCTAAACACACCTTTCTCGCTTCGCATCTTTTGTAAGGGGGAGCGATAATATCTGAGAAATCGCTTATACAAAAAAATACATTTATTAGAAAAAGCGTTATTCTCTTGTTATTCTCTTTGTTAAATTCTCCAACGTGTTATGACAAAGGTGCGAGAACTACCTGTTGATAGGTCTGTAGATCGTGTAGATGCGCGCCAAGAGAGACACGACTACCGTTGTTCACTCGGTAAATACTAGCGCGGCAAACACTCGAGAAAGTTGACTGCCTTACTTGGCAGTCTTCGGTAACCGTACAAGGTTACAACGTAAAAAAAAAAAAAAACTTAAACATCTCTTTTTACATGTCTCTACGTCTCAAATAAATTTCCAATACTTCATTCACCGTTTGTTAATATCACGTTTTAAATGTTGTCGCTAACTCTCTGAAATAATGACTCTAGGATTACGTTTACGCGTAAGGAGAATGACAGCTTTCGCACGCCAAGTCTCAGTATGACGCATAAATATCCGCGATAAGGATTAGTTGGAGAGCAGCTCACGCTGAGAACCGTTTCGGGACCTCTGGAACGAACAATGGTCCAGCGGTGTGCGTGCCGGTCTCCACTGGTTTCCACTCGTCTCGCGTGAGACAGAACGCGCCTTTCTTCGTCCTCTCAGCAGCGTCGTGCACACGCACGTGCAACTGTGCGCCACGCTGCGCCACGCCGCATGTAATCCGTTCTCCCCGTTCAACCAGTCCGTCGAAAGAGCGGTTGCGGTGAAAAGCCGACTAATTAATCACGCGAGTCTCTCTCTCTCTCTCGCCTCCCTCCCT